CCGCGTATCCCATCCCCCACCTTCGCTCCCAGCAAGGCCCGCGTTATCTAGGCAGCGCCGTCATTCCCAGCCAGGACCCTTGTCCCCTCTTTCTCAGTCAGCGCACCCTTGCCCTGCGACTGCCCCGTCGCCATCCAGTGCCCACCCCCTTTCTGTGCGGGTAATCCCGGGAATCCCTTCCCTGGCCCGTGCCTCCTCCCGGAGTCAGCCGCCATTCCCTAGACCTTCCGTTTTCAAAAGCGGGGAATCCTTTGTCAAGCCCGCACCCGTTTATACCCTATACGACCCAGGCCCCAGTCCTCGTCGTCACCAGCCTTTCCCCTCTCCCCTTCTCAGACCCTGCTCTTCACCCTTTTCCAGGCGATCCCCAGCAGATTATCCTTTCCCACGAGCCCTTAACCTGCCTGTACTGTGGAACGCAGCCGTGCCCGCTCACCTAGCCACGCTCGCTTCATCCATTTATACCTTCCTCCCCAGCTGGGCCCCCTTCCTCCGCCCAGCCAGCTCCCCAGGCTGCTACCCTTTCCCCTGCTAGACAGGCTGCCCTTACCCCCACCTGTCCCCTCCCCAGCCAAGCCACACTCCCCAGCACCCCCTTCTGCAGCAACCCTCCCCAGGCCCCTGCTCCAGCTTGTTCGCCCTCCCCAACCAGTGTCCAGGCTTCCTGACCCAACTTGAATTTTCCTTCTCAGCCTTTGGCCCCTTCCCCCAGCTCCTCGCCCCAGGCTCTCTTCTTTAACGCCACCCCCTTTCTGAATCAGTCATTTTACCTGCCTGTGTCCACCTCTCTGGCCTCTAACCACTTACTGGTAGTTTCTCACCCTGCGTTTCCTTCCTCAGGCAGGCGTCAACCACAGCCTGGCCCCTTCCACCAGCAGGACCCTGCTCCCCACCCGGCTCTTCCCCATGCAGGCTGGTTCTCCTACCTGAGATCCCGTGGACACTCTCCGCAGCCAGGCTGCGCTTCCCCTGGCAAGGTCCCCTTTCACCCCTAGGTCCCCTTGTCCATGTGGGGAGCCTTTCCTAGAAAGTGCCTCCTTCCCACAGCCAGGTTCTGTGCCCAGGCTTCTCCCGTCCCAGCTGGACCCCTTTCCCAAGGAATTGCCCCTTCACTGGCCTTTCCTAGCCAGCGCTTCCTTCCCTGCTAAACATCTTCCTCTCAGCTCTTGGTCACCTGTCAAGTCCCCTCACTAGCCATGTGACTTTCCCCTGCCAGGACCCCTTTACTCACATGTGCCCCTACATGAAGCCCATTCCCCTTCTCGGGTTGGAGACTTTTCCAGCCCGAGCCTGCCCCGCAGTGAGGCCCTTCACCTAGAGACCTGCACGTGTCCTCAGTCTCTGCTGATTTTCCCAGGCAGGTCTCCTTCTCCCAGAAAGATCCCTGCCTTCCTCAGCCATTGCACCCTTGCCTCAGCCAAGCCCCTTTCCTAACGCATGCCCCTCTCCTCAGCCAGACCCCCTCTTATGCCTATCTTGCTCCCCTCCCCCAGCTGGGTCCCTCTCCTCAACCATGTGCCCTCTCTCAGGCCACACACCTCCTTCCCAGCATCAGGTCGTCTCCATCCTCGAGGCCCCCTCTCCCTGCCTATTAATCCTCTGAGTCCCGCCTGTGCCGTTCTTTCCCAGCCTTCAAACCTCTCCCGCCAGCGGCTCCTTTCTTAGCCTGTGCCTCCCTCACAGACCCCATTCCCCTGTCAGAGCCCTTAGCTGTGTGCACAGGCCAGCATTCCCCGCGGGGAGATTTTCATCCCCAAGGCCCCCATCTCAGCCAGTCTCCAGTCCTCAGCTTGTGCTACCCTGTGGTCCCTTTACAAAGACAGGTGCACTCCCACCCAGGCCTCTTCCCCCCGCCTAAGTCCTTCTGCCCAGCTTATGCCTACCTTCCGGGCCAATCCCCTTTCCTGACCAGGTCCTCTCCCCCCAGCTATTCCACCATTAGGAGTCAGGGACTCCCTTCTCACCCTGTGCCCCCTAACTCACCTAGGCCTCGTTGCCTTGACCAGCCAATTCCTCCTTCCCTAACCAGTCTCTCCTAGCATCCCCTTCCTAGTCAGGCCTCCTCCCCCACCCTGTGCCTGAGGCCACAGCCGGGTTCCCTTTGTCCAGCATGTCCCCATTCTCTGCCTGTTCCCTCTTCCCCCAGGTATATTCCTCCTTGGCCAGGCCAGACTGATTCTCCACCTAAGTATGCTTTCCCTGCCTGGCTCATTTGCCCACCTAAGTCGCTGTTCCCAGCCAGGACCCAACCCCACACATTTCTCTACTCCCAGCCAGGCTCCCTTCTCCTTCTGTGACCCCTTCTCTATACTGTACGGGCTTCCTCCAGCCTGTGCCCCGTATGTGGCTAAGTCCCCTTTCCCGCCTAAGCCCAATGCCCCAGCAAGGACTCCTTCTGCTGCCTCTGCCCTGTTCTGGGACAGGTCCCTTTCCCCAGCTAGGCCCCCTTACCATGTCGTGTCCATACACTAGCCTGGTCCTCTGCCTCAGCCTGCTCCAACCTTCTCAGCCTGAGGGCCCCCTCCTCCAGGCAGTCCTCCACACATCAGACCCAGTTCCCTAGTCAGAGCCTCTTTCCCCCAGGAGAAGGCCCACTTTCCTTCAGACCCCTTTTCCAGGCAAGTGCTTTGCCCCTGGCGAAGCAAGTGTGGCCGAACCACCTCCCCACTGAACAGCCCCATGCCCCATGGACCTCTTCAGCATCCAGGATTCCCTTCCAGCCAGACGTCCTACCACAAGTTGCCCCTTCCCCAGCTTATCTCCCCTCTCCCACACCTGCCAGCAGGACCCGTGTTCCCCAGGGTGTAGCTGAGCTCCCTGACAGCTTCCCTCCTCAAGCCAAGTTTCCTATTCCTTCCTGTACAGCCCACCCCAGCTGGCCCCCCATTCTGCCACTGGAAGCCCTTCACCTGCCTAAATGCCTCTGCTCCCAGCCTGGACCTCTGCCCTTGCCAGGAATCCTCAGTAGCTCAACTCTTTCCCAAGGTGATCCCCTTATTTATAGAGGTCCCTAAACTCTTTCAACTCGGATCCCCTCCCTTACCCAAAGCAGTCCACTGCAGTTACGCCTCTTCCCATTTCTAGAGCTCTTCACCAGCCTTTGCCCACGTACCCAGTGAGGCTCCCTCCATCCACCTATGTCCCTTATCCCATTCAGGTCCCGTCCTCTAGCCAGGCTCTCTACCACCTGTGCCCCATTTCCTAGACCATTCCCCCTTCCTCAGCCTGTGCCCCCTCTCCCCACCCCAGCCTATTCACCTTTCCCCTGCCACGTCCCATCCATCGTCCTAGACTGACCCTGTTTCCAATGTTCAGACTCCTTCCCAGTCAAGCATCTTTCTGGGGATTCTGCCTCCCTTCCTGGCCTATTCTTCCTTTCACAGCCACTGTTCTCATCCCTGGGGGAGGGTCTCTTCTCACAAACACCTGCTTTCCTCAGGACCTCCTTTCTCAGCCAGCTACCTATATAAAACTTATCTGATATACACATTTGCACAGTGATCTGGCAGGATTTCCATTTTTGACTTTTCTGAACCCCCTCCCCTCCAAATAAACCAGTGGCATTTCTTTGCCCCCTGAAATGTACACTTGGACTGGAGAGTTTTTGTAAGTGGGAGTTCTTTTTCAGGCACAGCAATTGAAACATCCTCAAGGGAAACCATTTCATGATGTTTTCCAAAGAGTGGAGAAACAGCAACTCAGGACAGTCCGGAGATAATAAGGTCCCTCCCTAAATTCTTCTCTGTGAAACACCGCATGCATTCACTCCAGACCACCACCAAGACAGGAAGCCCATTCCTCCTCCCAAGTGCCTCATTTGTCCCCCCAACTCCCGCTCCCCAACCCTGCAGGATTCTTTGCCAAAGCATATCCTGGGATACAAACTCTGTATGAATAAAGTCAAACTCCACACAAATAGAGAACCAAGTTTTTTTTAACTCCTTTTATTTTAGAACAAATTGCATTAATTGTTAATTTTAGAACATTTGGTGTGTACAGAGAATTTTTTAAACCATTTTAAGTAGTCTCACTGAAATACAGGATGTGAAAACAAATTTCTTGAAGTTGTTTACTCAAAACCATTTCACTTTTACTATCCATTTGGCACATTCAAAAATATCAAGATATCAATGAAAGTACATTGCTCACTTTTTTAAAACCTCATGCCAACTTTAGGTATAACAGAATGGATCAGCTACTTAAAGAAAGTCACATCCCTATGTTATGTTTAATAAAGGAAATTAAATCGAGATCTTCCACACCTTACAGTAAACCTTACTTAGCCTATCAGTTTGCACTTATACATAAACTTATATTACCACTTATATTTATCTTCTACATTTAACAAACACTATTATTTGAAGTTTAGCAAATACCTAAGCAAGTTAGATTAGTTTGAAACTACACACGTTTTTAACGAACAGAAAATACTAAAGGTGATCTTGTTGCAAGTACATAAAACACCAAGTTTATGCAAGTTATCCAACCTATTCATGAACAATCAGACGGGGTTCAAACTTCTCAAACGGACTCTTCCAAAGTGGTAAAATACAGAAACCATGAAGGAAAGCAAGGGAGAGAGAAAGAAGAATGAAGAGATAGGAAAGCGAGGCGGGGGATAACAATTTTGAGTCAAACGAAGAAACACCAGAGAAAGTCAACAGAAAAAACTGAGCCTACTGAGAGACCCGGCGGCGACTTCGGTTCTGGCTCCGGCTCCGGCTCCGGCGGCAACAGCGACGGCAAAGGCACCGGCAACGACAGCGGCGGCTCCGGCGGCGGCTCCGGCGGCAGCTCCGGCGGCGGCGGCGGCTCCGGCGGCGGCGGCGGCGGCAACGGCAACAGCAACGGCACTAGCGACGGTAAAGGCACCGGCAACGACAACGGCAACAGCAACAGCAACAGCAGCGGGGCAGCGGCAGCGGCGACGGCCATGGCGGCGGGGCAGCGGCAACGGCAACGGCACCGGCGATGGCTTCGGCAGTCGCGACCGCGACCGCCTAGAAGAAGCGCGGGGCGGCGCCCCCAACGGCGCCGGCTGGGAGCGGCTTCACCGAGTTGTAGTGATCCCCGAAGCTGGAGCAGTAACGCACGTAGACGAGGACCAGCGGCTTCTCGGTGTACTCCTCCCCGACGACGAAGGCGGGCGCCGGGGTCTGGACCACCTCGATGGGACACTGCAGGACGTGCGACAGGGCCCTCAGCTCCAGCTGGGTTCCCCACGACGCGTTGTGCTCGATGTCGTCGCAGTAGCTCAAGAAGTCGTCGGAGCTGTAGGAATCGCCGGTTTCGGGGTCGCTGAAGAACGGCAGGAAGTCGTCGATGTGCTGTCGCATGTAGTCAGCGGTGCGGCTCCGCAGGCACTCCAGCGTCTCGGAGGTAGACAGCTGGTCTTGGATGGCACGGTACATGCAGTGGCTGTCGACCGGGATGTACTTCATCTCCAGGTTCTTGGCTGCGAGGATGGCGGCCAGCTTCTCCTCTTCCTTGCGGCGGTGGGCAGACAGGTAATCCACACCAGCCTCCTCCGCCATCTTCTGGCGCTCTCTCTCTTGCGCCGCCCTTCTTTCGCGCCTTTTCTGCACTTTCGACAGGCGGGGCGGGCGGTTCTCAATATTCATCTTCGCCAGACCTGCAGCGACGGCATCGAGGTTGGTGGTATCAGGGTAAACTTCCCCGAACTTCTCCAGCTCCTGCTGATGCTTCTGCTCCAATTCGGCCTCAAGGCGCTCCACGTCTAGGAGCAACTGCTTTCTTTTCTTCTTGTCGCTCTTAGGCACCGCATTTTTCATGGTCTGGATGCGGTCCTGCAGCTCTTTTTTCTCGCGGAGGTGGCGTCGTTCCACCCGTTCCCGCTCCCGCTGCAGATCTTCCATGGTGTTTAACGGCAAGGAATAACCGAAGTTTCCAGACGGTGAAGTACTGAGTACTGAGTACCGAGTACCGTGGACACTCAGAGTCCTAACCGCCTAACAGGTAGCGGTGCCTCAGCGCTCCGCGACAGCTGTACTCTCAATTTAAGCCCCTAGTTGCCCCCCTCCCACTAATACCCCTCTCTGCCATTGGCCAGTGTCTCCATGACCACGCCCTGAAGCACACCTGACACTAGGATTGGCTGTTGGGAGACCCTCAGTAAGCCCCTTAGTAGACCCCTTGGCAGGGGTGTTTCGGGCTTTAGCAGGGTTCAAAGTTCGGCCTGTAAGAGCTGGCCTTTGCACCTTACGTGCATTTACGGCTGTGTACGTCACGTGCAGTCATTCCGCTTTTGAAGGTTTTGTGCAGTGGTGGCGGCCCTCGCAGTATTAAATGCAGCGATTCGGTCTTTGCAGGTGTAAATGCATCAGTTTGGCTTTCTCAGGTTAGGTGTCACAACTGAGCTTGCAGAATTTTTCCTGGACTCTTACTCCCTACTTCATTCTTCATTTCCAAGCCTGAACACAATGCAGACACTGGGTGGTGACTGAGAATCACAGGAGAAATGTTATACCACCTGCTGAGTACTCTTACACTGGACTTTCTATTACTCCTAATGTTGAGGAGGCAATGTGGCTTTTTCCAGTTTTGCAAGTCCCTTGACTAACGAACCCTCAATTTTATCTATTAGAACAAAGACATTTCCTTGTGTTCCTGGGAACACAGAGTACTTTCAGTTTAGGTCTCAAGTCCACCCTGTCCCATCTCAGTGCAAAAAGGCAACACTTTTCTTCAAGTCATTCGCTACAACTATGGAGACCTCTGGCCTTGTGCCAACAGAACTAATGCATCTTCTCTAAACTTTTTCTTGGGTTCCCTGCTTCCAAAATGGGCTCCCTACAATGCCCGGAAGCACTTCTTTAGGATTATTGTGAGCCTGCAAAAGTTCAAAAAAATTAAAATAAATAGAAAATTAAAAGCCGTAAGCTGTTTCCAATATGCTCTCATCTTGTCCCGCCCTGCTCATCTGTATCTTCAGTTCCCAAACAAGAAGGGCCTTTTTTTAAAAGATTTTTAAATTTATTTTATTTTATTTTTCTAGAGAGGGAAGGGAGGGAGATAGAGAGAGAGAAAGAGAAACATCTCTGTGCTGTTGCTGGGGGTCATGGCCTGCAACCCAGGCATGTACCCTGACTGGGAATCAAACCTGTGACACTTTGGTTCGCAGCCCGAGCTCAATCCACTGAGCTACGCCAGCCAGGGCTACAAGAAGGGCCTTGAGAGAGCCTCTTCCTTGTTACAGATGAAGAAAGTGGGCATTTGTCCCTGTTGTTGCATATGTCAAAATTTCATTCCTTTTTATTGCTATGATATTGATATACTGTAGATTGTTTAACCATTCTCCTGTTGAAGGACATCTATGTTGTTTCCAGTTTGGGGTTATTGTGAATAAACCTGCTATACACATTTGTATACAGGTTTCTGTGTGACCGTAAGTCTTCCTCTCTCTAGGGAAAAATGCCCAGGAATACAATCGCTGGGTTGTGTTATAAGTGTATGTCTAGTTTTTTAAGAAACTGTTTTCTAGAGTGGCTAGAACCATTGTACATTCCCACCAGTAGTGTATGAGGGATCTGTTTTTTCTGCATCCTCACCACCAGCATTTGGTGTGCTCATAATTTTTTTTTGAATTTTAGCCATTCTGATACATGTATAGTCACATCTCACTGTGGTTTTATTTTTTAAGATTTTTATTTATGTATTTTTAGAGAGAGGGGAAGGGAGGGAGAAAGAGAGGGAGAGAAACATCAATGTGTGGTTGCCTCTCACATGCCCCCCACTGGGGACCTGGCCCGCAACCCAGGCATGTGCCCTGACTGGGAATCAAACCCGTGACCCTTTGGTTTTCAGGCCGGCACTCAGACCACTGAGCCACACCAGCCAGGGCTCACTGTGGTTTTCATTTGTATTTCCCTAGTGGCTAATCATGTTCATCTTTTCAAAGTGCTCATTTGCTATCCATGCTATGTCCTCTTGGGTAAAATATTTACACTGTTTGTCTGTTTTATAATTGGACTGTTTTTTTATTGTTGTTTTCAGAGGCTTTACAAAATAGATTTTAGATACCAGTTCTTTGTTGGCTATGTGGTTTGCAAATGTTTTCTCTCACACTGTAACTTGTATTTTCATTTCTTTCCCTGGTGCTTCTCAGAGCGAAAGTTTTACATTTGGATGAAGTGCAGTTTATCCATTTTTTCTTCTATGGGTTGTGTTTTTGGTGTCAAATCTCTTTATGTAATCCAGCAATTTTCATCTCATGGCACACTAATTATTAAAATTCTAAATATTAAACTAATAATCACTAATTATTAACTAATTAACTAATTATTAAACTAATAATTAAAATTCTGAGGCACACCAAAAAGTATATTTTTTGTTGCTCTGACAAAAAATAAATAGGTATTATTTTGATTCATCATACGGGATGGCTACTGTAGTGTTGGCTGTTGTCATTTTTTTTTTAATTTGGGAAAAGAGGTCAGTTTCCCTGACTAAATAGTCAGGTATTGCATGTTTTAAAAATTTTGGGGGTGCACCTATTGAAAATCGCTGGTCTAACCCTACATCTCAAAGATTTTGTCCTGTTGTTTACTAAAGAAATAGTTTTTAAATTTAAATCTATGATCTACTCTGTGTTTATTTTTGTGTAAGGTTTGAGGCTTATGTCAAAGTTCAGTTTTGTTTTTAAGATTTTATTCATTTTTATTTTTAGAGGGGGGAAGGGAAGGAGAAAGAGAGGGAGAGAAACATCAGTGTGCAGTTGCCTCTCATGTACCCCCAACTGGGGACCTGGCCTGCAACCAAGGCTCCCCAGCTGGGAATCAAACCAGCAACCCTAGCAATCCACTGAGCCACACCAGCCAGGGCTGTGTGATTTCTTTTGTAGCCTGTTGATATGCTGGATTACATTGATTGCTGGTCAGGTATTGAACCAGTCTTATACTTGCTCATGGTTTACAATTTTTTAAAAATATATTGATAAATTCTATTTGCTAATATTTTGGTAAGGCTTTTAAAGTTGACACTGATGACAGATATCAGTGCATAGTTTTCTTTTTTGGTAGTTTTTTTTGTTTGATTTTGGTATCAGGGTAATGCTAGCTTTATCAAATGAACTTGGAAGAAGAGGAGGCTCTTCTGTTTTTCTAGAAAAGACTGTTTAAAATCAATGTTAATTCTTTCACTGTTGTGTTTTCTCTCTTTTGCTATTTGTTCTTTGTCAGCCTTGTTAGAGATTTGTCAATTTTACTGATTTTTTTTCAACAAACCGCCTTGTTGTTTCATTGATTTTTCTTTATTACATTTCTGTTTTCAATTTAATTGATTTCTGCCCTGGCTGCTGTGGCTCAGTGGACTGAGTGCCAGCCTGCAAACCAAAGGGTTGCCAGTTCAATTCCCAGTCAGGGCACATGCCTGGGTTGTGGGCCAGGTCCCTGGTTGGGGGCGTGTGAGAGGCAGCCAAATGATGTTTCTCTCTCTCTCTTTCTCCCTCTCTTCCTTTCTCTAAAAATAAATAACATCTTCAGAAAAATTTCATTGATTTCTGGTATGTTTTCCTTCTGCCTGCTTGGGTGCAGGTCACTTTTCTTTTTCTGGTTCTTGAGGTGCCAGCTTAGATGATTCTCTGCATCTATGAGTCTGTTTCAGTTTTGTTTGTTCATTTATTTTGTTGCTTAGTTTCCACATATTTAGCCTTTCTCTGTCTGACTTAATTTACTTTGCATAACACGCTCTAGGTCTATCCATGCTGTTGCAAATGGTAAGTTTTTTACTCGTATACTCTGTATTATATACCACAGCTTTTTAATCCACTTATCTACTGATGGGCACTTGGGCTGCTTCCATACCTTACCTATTGTAAATAGTGCTGCAGTGAACATATGGGTGCATATATTGTTTGGAATTACTGTTTCAGGATTCTCTGGATATATTCCCAGAAGTGGAATTGTTAGGACATAAGGCTGTTTCATTTTTAATTTTTTCAGGGATATCCATACTGTTTTCCACAGTGGTTGCACAGTCTGCAATCCCACCAACAGTGCACTAGGGTTTCCTTTTCTCCACATCCTCACCTGCACTTCTTGTTTGTTGTTTTGTTTATGATGGCCATTCTGACTGGTGTGAAGTGGTATCTCATTGTGGTTTTAATTTGCATCTCTCTGATGGCTAGTGATGCTGAGCATCTTTTCACATGTCTCTGGGCCCTCTGTGCGTCCTCCTTGGAGAAGTGTCTGTTCAAGTCCTTTGCCTATTTTTTAATTGGGTTGTTTGGATTTTTGGTGTTGAGTTTTATAAGTTCCTTATAAATTTTGGATATTAAGCCATTATCAGATGTATTGGTGAATTTTTGCTCCCCTTCAGTGGGTTTTTTCATTTTGTTGATGGTTTCCTTTGCTGTGCAAAAATATTTCAGTTTGATGTAGTCCCATTTGTTTATTTTGTCTTTCGTTTCCCTTGCCTGAGGAGATATGGCAGAAAACATATTACTTAAAGAAATGTCAGAGATTTTACTGCCTGTGTTTTTTTCTATGAGTTTTATGGTTTTGAGTCTTTTTTTTTTTAAGATTTATTTATTTACTTTTAGATAGGGGAAGGAGGGAGGGAAGGAGAGAGAGAGAGAGAGAGAGAGAGAGAGAGAGAGAGAGAGAGAGAGAGAGACATCAATGTGCAGTTGCTGGGGGCCGTGGCCTGCAACCCTGGCATGTGCCCAGGCTGGGAATCGAACCTGCGATACTTTGGTTCGCAGCCCGCGCTCAATCCACTGAGCTACACCAGCCAGGGCGGTTTTGAGTCTTAACATTAAGTCTTTCATCCATTTTGAGTTTTATTTCTGTATACGGTGTAAGAATGTGGTCTAGTGTAATTTTTTTTGCCTGTATGTTAGACTTTATTTTTTAGAGCA